CATATAATTTTATATATTATAATATTAATTTGGATTATACTGGGCTTTGTTCATGACAATTAAAGACCAATTGTGTTTTGGACTAGATAGGGCCTCTCTATGAGAATTTACTTAGGTCAAAAACCTTTTTAAAAAATGACTTGTGGGTACCTAGTCCAAGGACACTGCTAAAGTGCCATCCCAGAATATATCATCATCTAAGTTATTACTGAATGTAAGTCATGTGATGGCTTCCTATGAAAATTTCCCATTGAAAAAAAATCAATGCTAATAACTGGAACTGGAGAGCTGTAATGGGCTCTGCTATGTTTTTCTGGCTTAGATTGTGTTCGTGTAATAAGCTGGGAAAAGAAATTGATGACCTGTGAGCTGTGGCCACTTCCTGATCTCATTTGATGCTGTGGTCTTCAGTTTAAAAGGGTGTTCAGAGAGGTTGCTTTATAATGGAGACGTTAAGCAAAGGGAGCATATTCCTGGAGGCTGGTTGGCACAACACAATTCCCACTGCAAAAGCAGTGCCATATAGAGGACTATTGCCAGCAGAGGGACTTGTGTGGAAACTATTCTGGGGAGGAACCTCTTGAAATGAGCTGCTATAAAAACTGGTGCTGCAAACTGACCAGAGCCATTCTCTTTGTACTACAATGGAGCTTTAAGTCTGAAGGCATTGCTTGCATGGAGGCTCAGATAGTGTACATACACTGCTTTATCCAATCTGCTGCTTGGGCATGAACAAGATAACTAGATCCATATGAGGAGTGGAAACATTAGGGGTGGGCAGAAAATTTTTTGAAATGGACTCTAGGTAAAACCCAGAGATGCTTTGTAATTGAAGTGCCCCTAATATCTGGAAGCTTCTACGTGGTTGTACAAGTATAATAGATATTCTACAGTCCCCTAATTCTACAGTCCCCTAATTCCAGATTGTCCTTCCCAATTGACACTTCTGGAGCTATCAAGTGGACTCCACCTGCCAGAAGAACACTCTAGAGAAATCCAGGACACCAGCTCCTAGTGTTGTTTGCTACAAAATCCTTTGTTTTAAGGAATTATTAATACATTAGATCCTCAGGATCACAGCAAGTGTGTGACAATTACTACAATTCTCATGTTAATGTGATATTAACACAAGGAGAATAGATCTAGTGTAGTCCATAGGTACAATTCTAAGAATATGATGCTACAACAATCCTTGCATAACCAAACTTATTTTGTTGTCATGTGTGACAGGAAGTAATAGACAATACCTTGGTGGCCTTTAACATTTGAAAGAGCCAAACACTATTTTTTTTTTTTTTTTTGACAGGCAGAGTGGACAGTGAGAGAGAGAGACAGAGAGAAAGGTCTTCCTTTCCCGTTGGTTCACCCTCCAATGGCCGCGCTGCGGCTGGCGCACCGTGCCTATCCAAAGGCAGGAGCCAGGTGCTTCTCCTGGTCTCCCATGGGGTGCAGGGCCCAAGTACTTGGGCCATCCTCCACTGCACTCCCAGGCCACAGCAGAGAGCTGGCCTGGAAGAGGGGCACCTGGACTGGGACTAGAACCTGGTGTGCTGGCGCCACAATGCAGAGGATTAGCCTAGTGAGCCGCGGCGCCGGCTAGACAAACACTATTAAGGTGTGCTTATGCTGTCAATAGGAACCCAAAGTTTTATGCTCTCCCTGTCTGTTTACTGAATATTGAATCTATTTTATGCGCAGAAAAGCACAATGGGCCCAACTACTTATGCTTTAGGACTTGTTCTAGTTTAGAGAGCAATAAGTTTGAGTACATAAAATAGGTATTTAGCATTTAGTTTTTATTTTTGTATGCATGAAAAGAGTGCTACTAAGAAATGGAGAAATCTAGGGCTTGTTTTAAGATATACATTACAAATATTAATTTTTGGTTCATCTAGCATTTTTTTCTAGATTTTTTTTCATAAACTTTTTTTTAAATTGTTTTTGCTTTACCTGGAATACTTATTGAATAACACCAAATTTTCACAGAAAGTCGCATCATGTTTATACAGTGACAGGAGAGCATATAGATAATATAATAACCTGGGATTTATTTGGTATTAGTTTTGCATAAATAATAGCGCACACAGGGGGATTGCATTTTCTTTTTATTGTAATAACATTTTGAAAGCATTTGCTCTTTAAAATTTTACCAAAATATATAGTAAAACTGGTGTTGTATATGCCAATTCTTTCTGAAAATTGTTTTAAAATTTTTTTCAACTGCTGCCTCATTTCTATATAAAATAGTAAAAGTTATGACTTTTTAAATGACAACTGAATGATAACTGAATGAAAATAAAAAGTTAAATATGACATAAAACACATTTGCAAAGATAATTATCATTCAAAACTCATAGTTCATTGACTTGAACTTTCAGAGTGAATTTCAGCCAGCGCTGTGGCTCACTAGGCTAATCCTCCGCCTGCGGCACCAACACACCAGGTTCTAGTCCCGGTTGAGGTGCCGGATTCTGTCCTGGTTACTCCTCTTCCAGTCCAGCTCTCTGCTGTGGCCCGGGAAGGCAGTGGAGGATGGCCCAAGTGCTTGGGCCCTGCACCCACATGGGAGACCAGGAGGAAGCACCTGGCTCCTGGCTTCGGATCAGCGCAGTGCACTGGCCACATCGTGCCAGCCATAGCGGCCACTTGGCGGTCAATGGAAAAAGGAAGACTTTTCTCTCTGTCTCTGTCTCTCTCTCTCAGTTTCTAACTCTGCCTGTCTCAAAAAATAAATAAATAAAAAAGAGTGAATTTCAACATTTTGGTACAATGTAAAAATAAGAGAAAAAACATCTAACAATTAGTCATGGGTGGAGTATTAGCTACACACACACACACACATACACACACACAAACATATCTCCCTGTGCAGTGCGGGATTTTCCTGAAGAAACAGCTTCTAACTTGGCCTCTTCCTATCTTACAAATAATAGGACATTGCTATTGCTCTTCTGTAGTGATATTTATGATTTGTTCAAGGTACAGTTGTTAATGATATTGGTGTCAGGGGTATGAGATTTGTCCTGAGTAATCCACTTCACTCTGGAAAAGGCTGAATGCTTGTAGGAATTAATTGTAATAATTCAGTAGCATTTTGCTCTGTTGATTTTCAATTTGAAGACATTTGGTATCAAAATGAAGATGTCTCTCCTAGTTGTCATTTCTGGAATGATTACTGGACTATAGTTAAAATATCTAAAACTAAATCTAGCTTAATAATTAATTGATCAGAACATGTCTCTGCAGTAATTCTGTTTTGGCTCAGTTCTCAGCAACCATATCTAGTAGTTGCCTGACTAGGGAATTGTGTGGCTTTACTGGACGCCTTCTATTTCCAGCTGTGAAATGGTGTTGCTGATGAATCAAAGAATGCAAGGCATTTTACACATTCAAAAAGCCTGGGATGTAGTGAACATTTAAGAAACGCTATTAGTAAGTCTTTCATCATCATTACCATTCTGTCATTAGCAATGGCTTAGAAAGTCATTGCCACCTTCTTAGTTTGTTTACTCATTTAAAGTGAGGAGGTTGAGTCAGATGGTCCTAAAATTTCTCTTGAACTCTGTTGCTATGAATCTGAACTGACATGATAGAAAGTAGGTAATTCAACTCTCTTGATGAAAGTGAAAGGAAAAAAGAAAAAATTTTAAGTGACAAGATTTCCTTCCAAGTCTATCAGAATTAGGAGTCAGTAGCATTTTGAATAAAGGGCTTATTCTGAAAATCATTGAATTTATAGTTCTTGGCTTCATATTTTGTCAACAGTGGACGAACTGGGATTTAGGAGTAATTGTCTCTGATTTAAGATTCCTTTTCATAACTATTTGAATTGTAGTCTGGCAATTTAATTCTTTTGACTGTGAAGGTATTTCTTCTTCTTCTTCATTATTATGTTGCATTGCATGGGTGCGCATATGTGAAAATGTACAGTTAACTATTTTAAACTTCATAAAGTTCATGAAAAATGTACATTGTGAACAGACTATGCATAGATTTTGAAAACTTTTGCACCAAATAAACTTATCTTTTAATTCCATTATTCCATGATGTTTTGAAATTCCCTCTTGAAAGACATAGTATTCAACTTGTCATTCTGCAATTGGCCACTTGGGCTTCACTATTCATTTTTTTACACTTGCCCATGTAGATATCTGTGACTCAAGTTTATTTGTTTCACCTGCTGTGTATCATTGAGCTGTTTGGAGTGGTTTCATCCTGTTGGTAGATATTTAAGTGTTTTTTAAATTTTTTATCAGTATTAAAAACAACTTCCAGAAGAGCATTAAATATGTTTTATAATACTTATGCAACTGATGTCTACACTTGAACATGATGATGTATCTATCTATACATATGTCATTTTGTATCTAGAATTGGAATGACCAATTCTGTGATTTTTAATGTTTTTTATTTATTTATTTACTTTTTCATTTTATTTAAGTTATACAAGTTTAAGGTATTTCATATAATACAAATTTAGGAACAGAGTGACACTTCTCCTTACCCTCCCTCACACCCATCTAATTTTAATTATATCCTTAATTTTAAATACACAAGTTAGACTTACATAATTTACCTGTTTTGAAAGGCATTGTTGTATGTTTATAGAAATGATATGATGTTTTAAATGTATTGGTTTTCCTGAATGACAAGTTATAAATATAGTGTCCAAGCATAATTTTTTGCTTGAATGAACTCAAGTAGATAGTTTGGTAGTACTTTTTTAAGCATTTGTGGATTCAATGACCTATTTTGCAAAATGATATTGAAAAATATCACTCATATGAATGTTTAGAATATGAAGTTAAAAGTGAATGAACTTTCAATTAATCATCATTGTGAGAATCCTAAAGGGAGGCATGATTTTCAAATATATTTCCTTGTAAGCGGGGTAATTTGTAACTGCACAAAGCATGTTAGAGATGGGATTTGAATGGTCAATATATTTATTAAGCTTGTAATTTATTACCCTTTTCACACCCACCCCACCCAATATGCAGAATCTAAAATGCAATGGCCAGAAGACAAGAAAGTGTCACCAGAAATATGTGGACATGGACTCCAGGACTGCTAATAATGAGTGTGATCTTCTGCGGACAGCAGGGTTATGGACAAGGCCAAGGTAGGTGCAAGCACGTTCTAATTCTCAGAGAGCTGGATACACGTTCCAATCTTACCTTCATGTTTTAAGCAATTTGTTGTCTTTTCATAAACTTTCTTCTCAAAGTGTACTGTAATGCATCCGAATCAGTTAAATTGGATTACCACTGGTTATGAACCAGTATATCAAATTTTAAGCCATCTGACACTGGTATTATGCTGTTGTGGTAGATGCTGTGTGTGTGAGCTAGCACATGTGTTTTTGTGTTGTAGAATTTTACAAGAGCGTTCAGCATGTATAGATTTTACATTTTTGGAGAAGTTTTTGGATCTTCTTTTCATTAGTGGTTTTTTAGTTTGAACTTAAGTATTTAAATTTCAAGAGCATATTCTAAAGGGATGTGATGTCTTCCAGAAATTAAGTGAAAAATTTGATGTAGCTGTTGCCCTGCCAGTTGTATCTGGGAGAAAGGAATGATGCATTGGAGCTGCAAGTTTGTGTCCTCTAGTAAAGTCCTTCTTTCAAGGGTTGTAAAGGGCCATAGATTGTGCAACAATGTTGTCAATAAGCTGATTCGATCAATAGCTTTGTGGAGTGGCTTATATCAGAATTAGTTTCTGTGAAGGTGCTTTGTGGTAAGTGTTGTTTGTTGAGGTGGGTTGCCTGGCAAAGATAGATTGTAATTTAATAATTTATAGGATTAAAAAAAGAGTTCTAACTACACCATTGATATATTTTAAACTCGGAGGTAAGTTTATTTAACATTGTTTCTACATTTGTCACAACATAAAATGAAATCTGTGAGCAAGAAACGTGTAGATATGGGTAGCAATATTCCAGATAAAATAGTAAATCTGTACTAATAGTACACACACACACACACACACACAAAGGTTATGGAGTTGAGTTTTACAGTGCTTTGATTTCCAAAATATCCAAAAAATATTGTATGTATTCAAATGTGTTTAACTTATTTTAAAAGATGCTCAAAAAAGAGCATTGCTTGCTGTTTACAATTTTGTTCAATGAATTTTTGAAATGCAAGGATTTTTTTAAAAAATATAAATGCTTATGCATCTTTGTGTACAGATGTATATGCACACAATCTTAATAACTAAATGAGTTTTACTTCCCTATCATTAAGGATTTATGTCAGCATGTGGTAGAATCTTCATGCCCCTTTTCTGTAAAATAATGTAAGAAAATAATATTTCATACAACATAGTATTTTCTTACTGAAGATCTAATATAAGCATTGGTAGAGAGTAGCTCCCTCATAGTTCATTTGCCCAAGATTTGTTTATTACTCTGGTAATGTGTTGGATATCTTAAATGCAGCATGACAATTGTTTCTCTGCAATAGTGACCCAGCAGGACATGCAGTATTCTGTAGGCTTGCCCAAACCATTCCTTGGCCATCCCTTCCAAGGGTTATGGCTTGTTCTAGTGGGTAATAGTTTATAGAATATTTAAAAATACTTGGAGAAAAATAAGCATCTTCTCTCTTATTTGTCCAAAGCCTTTGCTCTTATATTGATTGAATTATATCAATATTGATTGCTCAAATCCTTTGATTGTGACCATCATTTGTTAAGGATGCACTGAAATCAATTCCAAGTTTTGCTATGTGAAACTTCTCATGGTAAATGCAAGTTAAGTAATTTAGTTTCCTTTTAAAAGAATAAATTAAAATAGACAATGATTCAAAGGATAAAACAACTTAATAGAAAACATAATGGAATGCTTTAATATTATGGCTAGGCAAATTGTTTCCTCTACAATAGCAAGATTGAGTGAAGCAGATTTCTTAGGCATAATGAGCAAATCTTATAATTTCAAATACAACCCAAGTTACATATTATTATTAAGGATCAATAAAGCTCATTGTGTTTTGAATGTTATTTTTCACTTTTGGATATGCATCTAAGCCAAATTTAAAAATGAAAATTTTAGATTAAACTTTACATTACCAGACAGCTTTTTAAATAAAAAGCTCCTTATTTTGATAAGAAAATGAAGCACTAAAAATCTAAAAAAATAAAACTTTCATTATATTATTTATAGCTTTTCCTTAAACATTGGTTATTGTGACTCCCAAAGTTGGGAATTAAGGTTGAGCATCAATGAAAAATGACCCTTACAAAAATGTACCTGTAAAATTAATGAAGTTCTTTCCACATAAATTTGAAACGGTAGGGATAATTGTAAAGTTACAAGTTCTTTGTATTTGTGAGTATATTATATTCTAATAGTTGGTAAATCATTGGGAAATCTGGATGTCCTTTCCCAATGAAACCGTGATAGAAATGGTAGTTAAGTTGTGAGAAGGAAAAGATCCATTTAATTGAGAATGGAAAAGACGCATCATACTTGGTATGTGTGCATCCACCACTTAGAGTGTAACAGAGTATTCTATTAAAGAGTAATAGAGTCTGATTCTAAGTAAGAATGTTGGTCCATGAGCCTTCTAGGGGTACCAGTATCAAACTATAAGGAAAGGGATGGACAATGTTTTGGAATCAGGTGGATATCCTTTGTCTATTTTTTTTAGATAGGCCGAGAAAAGCATTGCCTTGGACATGGTTTCCCTGACATGTGACTTGTAGAGTGTGGTGCTTTTTCATACCCTGTTTTGGAATTGGTCCATCTCAATGCTGTTTAGGTCATTTGTACTGTAGAACCTACTTAATATGTGGAAATGAACCTAAACCTTAAGATGAAGTAGAATGCAGGTGAATTCTAGAAAAAAATACAGATTTTTTTTTTTTCTTTTACGGAACAAACTGTCATGGATAGTTGTATACAAATACATTTCCAAACACTGTTAGATATTGATTCGTGATAATCTAGTTAAAACTGAGCTGATATATTGTAAATATAGTAGTAATGTATAGCACAACCGACAAAAATGTGTTGCCTGGGAAGAGGTTCTGTAGAGAGCCCTGGAGAGTCTAACAGTTTCATAAAATTCTAGGAGATGATGGTGGTAGTTATGTTCAGAATTGAAAAATTATTTCTGAGCTCAGCAATCTAATTTGTACAAAAAATGCTTAAGTTAAAATATCTACCTTATTGTATTGAAGTAATAAAAATTATTTTACAAAGTAAGTGCAATGTGTGAATGCCAAGTGCTTAGGGTAAAGGTGAATGTTGGATAAAAATTAAGATAATGATTATGACTTTAGTCATAGGTAAATAGGTAAACTATTCCTAAGTATTATTTGATAAATCATTTAAAAAGCTGTTTTTACTTTAATGGCTTTAGTAAAGGAGTAATATATATTTTTGTTAGATAAGAAGGTTATGTTATTTTTCTGGTATATAAGAGTAACATCAAGAATGGAATGGATATTATATTACAGTCTGTTTGGAAAAGTGAGTATGCCAGTTTTTTGAATTACTGTTGTTTCAGTGTTATTTTTTTCTAATTAGAATTTATATATAGTATGATTTTCACATGTTTGAATACACAGGGAATTTTAATCAACTGAATTTCCCAGATATGTTTACTTCTTAAGTTCCAAATAGTAGTTCTGATAGAAGATGTGAAAGCTTTTGAAACTGAGGAAGGAAGCAGGGTGCACTCATGCAACACACTTAGATTTTGATGACAAATCAACTTAATGTATTCTTTGTTTTCATGACAAATTTTCAGCCAGAGATTGAGCACTTGAAAATTACAATTTGAAAATATCTGACAACTACAATTTTCAGTTTCGTGATCTATGTGATGAAATAATATTTCAGTTAAGGACCAAAATTTCAGAAAAGCATATCATTTATATGTCTAATTTAGTAAGTTCTCAAACTATATATCATCAGATGTTCTTGAAATTACCAGATGTAATTATATGAAGGCAGTTTCTTATGTTTGGTATTTCATTGTGACACATCCAATTTTTCTCTAGTGGGATCAGAGACAAATCTATTCAAGGAGAAAAGAAAGGAGTTGAAGAGCTTTTACTATCTTCCTCTTCCTTTTCTTTACCTCCTTCTTACTTCTTTCATTCCTCTTGATCTTTCTTTAGTATATACCAAAGTTATTTTGATTGTTTTTCTCATTTTCTCTTTCATTCAAAAAATAGATGTGATTGTGTGTTTCTCGGTAATTAAAGATAGCACAATTTGAATAAAAGTCTATAGCTGCAGCTTTTTAATTAGAAACCTCCGATTGACTCATTTATGAGTTTGAATATCTTATGATCACTGTTGATAAGGAATAATTGCTGTGATAGACCTTAATGTCACCTAGAGTTTTTTGAGATTGCTTAGCAAATTATTTTCATTTCATAAATGGATATTGTTTTAAGAGAGGTGAGGTCAGAGATTTGGCAGTGAATATTGAATGATGATTATTTGTGTATCCCAGGAGGTCTGACCTTAAATTGTCATCAAGCTAAGTAGTGGTGAAATTGAACTCTGCTTTATAATAGAATGCTTACAGTTTCTGACATTATACCATTTAAAGAATTCATTTGTGCAAAAAACTGTATATCTCTATGGTGAGATTTAATTGAATATCACTTAATCATTTAAGTCATTTTAGCTTTTGATTCAAACTTTTCAAAAATATAAGTACAAATATCCAATATTCAAAATTCATTTATATACCTACTCTGAACAACATCTGAAATCTTAGCAGGCTTTCCTAGCGACTTCTTTTATTTAAAAAAAAATCATGGAGATTATATGCAATGCACTATATCTATAGCATAAAGTGTTCATTTTATATGATAAACTGGGAAAATATAGCAAATTAAAAATACAAAGGATTCACTTTAAAAGCAGTAATTTCTTGAAGAACTTATCTCCAAAGTTTGGATACTTGAGAAAATCTGCATGGAGCATGCATTTCAGATTCATTGCAAACATTTGAAGGTGTGTTTTTAAAAGTAGTCACTGCAAAGCCTTTTATGAAATCTGTACTGGGGAATAAGGAAATTGTAAGCTATAATGTCTATTTAAAAAGATTTAGTTTGGAGCTGCTGTATTTCCTCTTAAAAATAGCTTAATGTTTTCCACATAAAGATATTCTTCCAGGATTTATATTGGGAAACAGTGCATGAAATAATTTCATTAAATTTTGCTTTTGTGTTTTAATGTTTTCCTGATCATCAAAAGTCATTGCTTTGGAAAAATGGCAAGTAGTAGAATGATCCTTTGTATGCATGAATAACATGGTAATATATACTTCTTTTTATCAATTTGCAGTCTATCACCAAATATTTGGCTGGCATTCATTCACAATATTTTTTAAAAAACTGTTCTTACCATGCAACATAATTATGTTTTATTTCCTATTTATTACATTTTGTTTATTCTTTGAGGTAAATACACATTTTAAAGAAGGTTCTCATACTTTCTTAAATTAATTTAGTAAAATTATTATAAAGACAATCTCAAGTCATTTAAGTGTTGAAATTGAAATATATTTTATTTGCACATTTTTGGAGACTCCATATTTTATTTAAAATTAAAGTCTAACTGGGATTTTGGTTATCTTTGGAATATGTTATGGAATTTGACATTAAGAATAGGGTTAGGGTTACGACATTTTATCAACTTGTCTCTCCCAACCACGTATGCAGAGAGAAAAGAAGGGAAATTTGGAGCAAAGAGATGATAAATAGCCAGGAAGATAGAAGGAAGAAGTGATAAAGGTAGGAAAAAGAGGGCAAATTAATAGGAGCAGGTATGAGAAATATCTAAGCTAAGGTTCTCTAAGATACACTACTAATAATCATGGTAAAATATAACACAAGTTCCTAAAGATTAACTCATCTATGAAATTTTTATTAGGACTTTACCATCAAAGAAAAGAATAGGAATATATTGGGCAGGGAAAAGGGAGAAGACTGAGGTGCCAAGTATCACACAAGTATTCACCTGTTCCCACTTTGCCCTGGGGACAGCCTTCTAACCTGTGTATGAATGGGGAAAACTGGATCTTGAGAGCGACATCAGTTCCTTACGTACGACGTAAATACCAGGGCATGGACATGGGAGGCCAGGAGATTTCAGAAGGCCTTACATGTGAGACTGGACACCTCGCCTTCAGCAGAAATCCTGAGTTACTCTTAATTCTATTATTTATGTCTGCCTCTTCAACCTGTGTTACCATTCCTACCTCAGCAAAAAGACAAGCTTGGGAATCACTTTGCTGTCACTTATTAGGTTTCCTTTAAAATGCTCATGAATTACACATGAATTTCAAAGTTGCCAAGTGAGATTTCAACTAAAAAAAAAAAAAAACTGGCATTTTTCCATTATGAAGGTTGTACCCAGTGTTCATGGTGTTTGACTTAAAGGGACATGGCCACATACATCAGCAACTTGGCTTCCCTAAATCATTTCTTGTCTGAATGCTTTTTCTAAAAACTTAGGAAGCTCTAAGATTTATATATGGTCATCTAACAGCAGGATCCATTTATCAACTGTAGCTTTAACAAAGCATAAACTGATTTGGCTCTTTTTGTGTTTAGTTATGTGTAACATAGTAATTGAGTTGCAATGTGTCTTGTTTTTATTTTTTAGTGCTTTTTAAAAATTATTTTCCTCTTAGTAACTTCTCATGCTTCTCTGTAAGATTTTCCTTTCTCTCCTTTCTTCATGTAGCTATCTTCCTTTTATCATTATATTGTATATTCCTTTAGTTCATGTGTCACCTATCCTGTGTCTCTTCCTATATTCTTCATTCTTATTTTGCTTCTGCTTCATGTAGTTTATATAGCTCCTCCGGCAACACTGTTACTATTTCTTAATAGATGCTATAATTATTTACTTGTGTCTTTTCATTATTTATTTACAAAGTTGTTAATGGATTGAACTATATATTTAGCTGTTCAACATATATTTATGAAGTGTTTACCCAAGGTAAGGTATTATCCTGGCTGAAGAAAATTGACCACTCTGCCATTGTGAAGTTTAAAATGTGGAGAAATAGATGATAGACAATGAGCAACATGAATATGCAAAGTATATTAAGACAATGGGCAAAAGATAAAACTGTGATGGGGATGAGAGAATTATGAGAGAATAATTTTTAGTTGGATGCTCCAAAAATAGCACACAGAAAATCCAAAATTTAGGAGTCCAATGTGGTGCAGACTGAGTAATACAGAGATTTGGGGCAGGGACATTCTTTGCAGAGTATAGAGCAAATAGGCTCACCTAGAACAGTATCATTTCTGGTAGTTTTCAGGAAAAGTGAAGTTATTGTGGTTATAGCAAAATGCGTAGGGTAGGAGTATTAGAAGATCTGAGAGCTGCAGAAGAGGAGGGGAGGGATGGGGATTTTGTGGAGTCTTACCTACTATTGCAGTGCCTTTGACTTTTATTTGGAATGAGGAAGAAACCTGATAGGGATTTTGATTCTTTCTGGTAATTTTTAATGATCACTTCTTAGATTTCAGTAGTTTTGCTTTATTGGAATCAGGTATAAACTAGTACATCAAAGTAATTTTACATTCTAATTTAAATCAATTAAAACAGGCTTTTATTGTTTTATCTTTCCCATTACTGAATCCCCCAGCTTTAATTTATTTGAAATCATTCTATAATAGTGAACCAGTGCAAATTTTTCATAATGTAAAACCTATTCTTCCTCGTATTTAGGTACTTAATTGAAGATGCCATTAGAAAGTTCACTTGTTCTGTTGAAAGATGTTGATAAAACTGTTTTTAAATTACGATCACATCATTTGGTACTTTATTAGGTTGTGTTTCTCGAGCTCAAATGTAGATAGTGGTAATGAATTTGTACCTCAAAGTGGATGACTTTTCTATCTAGAATCAAGGATATATATGCAAGTGGGAAAACTTAGTGATTTCAAATCTTGGCAAGTGAGAATAATCTATAAGGTTAGTTTGTTAGTTTCTGGTGGAACTGTACTCTGGTAGGAAAATGTGTCCTTCTATGAGGCAAGCATTTGATCAATTATACTTTATTTTTCACACTTTTTGTTTTCTACAAAATATGGTTTACATGATTTTCTTGGAAAGATTAACCACTCATGGTATACCAGAAGAAGAAATACTGAGGGAAGACAGTCAGGTACATGTTAATATTGTTTAGAAAACTCAAGGAGAGATAAGAAGGAGAAAAATACACAGAGGTGAAGAGAAATGGCATAAATTTAAAAATAGGGATAAGAATTATTATCACATAGTGAATCCATCTATAGTAATGAAGATGAAATTAACCCAAGTGTATCATGGGAAAGATGTCTATAAGGTTATCAAGAAGGAGGAGGGAAAAAGGAAAAAGACACACAATTACGTAAGCAAATCAGTGCTGTGGAGGCTATGAAGTGTGAAGAAGGTTAAGTGATCTAAATGGCTGAGTGTAACTGTCAAGTGGAAGAGGCACTGACCTAGCATAGAGTGGTCAAGGACTTTTGTTTTCTTAAGGAAATGGTTTTCAATTAAAATAGAAATGAAGAGAGGGGTAAGTACTTAGAAGATCTAGGATGTTATGAGTAGAAAACAAAGCAGATATAAAGTTTCTAAAATAGAAAATAGCTTGATATTTTCTTGGGAAGCCAAGAGTGCCTTCTTAGATGGAAAATCCATGAAGAAAGGACACAGGCATGTACAGAAACTCTCAGGAACCAAATCGGGATTTTGTAGGTAAAACTTGGATGTAAATTAAATCCACTGAAACATTCAAGGCTGACACGTAATACGATCAGGTTTACTCTTACATAGCTTTCTCTGTTTTCAGTATAGGTGAGGATGTACAATTAGGAAGAGAAATAATTTATCTGACTACTGCATCTATACTTTAGGTAGCTAGAATTATGATTGTAGTGATGAAATTGGAAACAATAGTCGTTTGAGATTAAAAGTTGTTTTGCAAGAAGAGCTGATAGGGCTTAGATCAAGAATCATACCAAAGTGTTTAAACAGGGGCATGGTGGATTATGGTTACTTTTATTGGAAATGGGACTGCTTGATGACATGGGATAGACTGCAAGTAGATAGGCACATACATGTAATTGATTTTTACTTGTTTTTTTTTTTTCCATGTTAAATTGAGATGTCTGTTGGAATCTAAATGGAGATGACATATAGACACTCAGAAGATAACAGAAATGTAGTTGGAGAATCCTAGGTGTATAGATTTTGTTTACAGTCAAAAGTCCAGGGCAAGGTTTAAAAAATCACAACTCAGGAGACACAACTTGTTGGTCTGCGAACTGTTCTTGTATGCTATTTTTTTAACATTTGTAATTAAAATGTAAAACATACAAAAGAATTTTGATGAAAGCAGTCACTTAAATTTGCCTTTTTTCCTCCTAAAGCCTACAATATTTGCCATCTGAATATTTGCCACAGATTTTATAATCTTTGGTCAGCATAAAACCCTGTAAGAAAGGGGTATTGCTAGAGAAAATAATAACATAGTAGTGGAAATTAAAATTATGTCTAGAACAGTATTTAGAATGGAGTATTTAAGCATGGATATAATAGACCATAGACAATACAATAACAACAAATTAATTATAAACATGATCAATAAAGACATTAGCAGCAATAAAGGAAATGTCGTCATCAGACTATTCAGTCAATGTCACAAGGAGTAGAGACAGGCAAGGGTGCTATATTCGAGAGTATTTGAGAGAAGGCTTAAATAGTTTCAACAACGAGAACAAATGGAGGTTGGCATTAATTCTAGTCTGAGATTTAAGGAAGATCAAAATACCTCAGGCTTTTAAAAGCGATCTTTAAAGAAAGAGAACTTCATTATAGCATTCTGTAAGGGGAAAGAACAAATTCTATCTTATGGCAAAAGATCACTCTGGCTACATGTTATGCCAATGTGGAGGAACAATTAAATTAGCCAAGCAACTAGTGAAGCCAAGGTTCAGGTAACCTTGGCGAAAGAAAAATTGGTATAAAATCCATACTGGAATGATCATAAAAGTGAACAGGAAGAAGAATATAGGTGTAATGTTTGGTAAAAATTTGTCAGACCTCCTGTCCCTTGTAGTGGGGTGGTTAAAATAAGAAACTCCCAATTTTGTGTTGTTTTTATTTTTAATTCAGATTTATAGATCCAATTTTGGAGATTACGGTTTAATAAGTATAGAACCTGAAAAAACAATTTAATTGTCCTAGTGAACAAAATAAAATCATGACTGTGATGATTGATGCTTTGTATTCTTCACTCCTTTATTATTCATCAGCATTTGGGAAGTTTTGCTCTAATTCCATGCAAATCCATCTGATAAACTTGTTCTTTTGTGCTGCTTGAATATTTCCTACCTGTCACCTTTTATAGTTCCTCACTTGTATTGTTGCTTTCCTATTTGGGCCTTTTTTAGTGATCGACTGCTTTATGCAGTGATGTACTACTGTCATGACAGTAGGCACCACATTATATGGTAAGTATGATACTTTTCAAAATCCCTCCCTTGAATATATCCTCTTCCTGAAGCCTGAAGTTCCAAATGTTTCGTTGAGCTGTAATAATCATCATAGTAAAAAAAAATAGCTTTTCTGCTTTGTACATGTAGTGGCTTCTAATTTGAGTATCTATTTTCCATACATTAGTGAGCTCCTATATTATGAAAATAAATTCTTACTTCCCAAAAATACCTTTAAGTCTAATCCTCACCAGTGAAGATCAATATATAGCCAAAATGTATTAAAATATTTCTTTACATGTACTATTTACAGCCTTTCAAAGGTGTTAGAAAAATGATTAATTTTAGTTTGAAAGAATGCACAATCAGTATTGAAATGATAAAAATGTAACATATGAAGAGATAATATTGTTAGATTTAAAATAGTTATCAAAAAAACTAAGTAATATTTATATATGTTTCTGATTGGCATGCTGAATCAATTTCAAGTCATTTATCAGTATGGACATGGTAGAAAGAGATTTTATTTCCTCTGGCTCAATTCATTGATGGTTGCAATGGCCATGGCTGGGCCAGCCAGGCCAAAGCCAGGAGCCAGGAGCCAGGGGCTTCTTCCAGGTCTCCCAAGAGAATGGCAAGGCCCTAAGCATGTGGGCCATCATCTGCTGCTTTTCCCAGGCTCATTAGCAAGGAGTAGGATGGGAAGTACAGCAGCCTAGACAGGAACTTGAACCTACATGGGATGTTGGTGTCACAGGAGGTGGCTTTACCCTCTATGCCACAATACTGGCCACAATATATTTATCTTTTTACCAGAATGTTTAAATCAATTAGAAAATGGACTCTACAGTTCTCAAAAGTAGATTCTTTGACTAGGAATGAAATGATTTTACCACAATCACTAAAATACATTTCTTTAGAAATATGATTTTATGTTGCTTCTTTATTTTTATTTTTAAAGATTTATTTATTTCTTTGAAAGATCATGAAGATCAAAACCATTTTCATAAATTTAAAATAACATAGAAAGTAGTATAATTATCCATTACTTCCTTAATATGTGTCAATTTTTTTCAATTAGGTAGAAAAAACTGGCTTGCTTTAAAATTAATAGATTTTACTTTTGAGCAGTTTAAGTTGACCAAAAGGAGTGAGTGAATTTTTCTATACACCCATCAGTCTCCTCCAATTTGTCCTATTTTTAACTCTTAGCATTAGTGTGATACATTTGTCATGATGATGAACCATTATTGGTACATAATTACTACTAATCTCCAGAGTTTTTATTAGTATTAACTTTTCATGTTATATGTACTATAGATGTTGAAAATGTGCAATGGCATGTATTCACCTTTATAGTATCATATAGAATAGCAGCTTCATTTCCCTAAAGGCATTTCATGCTGTCTCTGTATACTATCCTACCTCACTTCAATTCCCTAAAACAAACAACACAACGATATTCTATGATCTCTATAGTCTTGCCTTTTTCAGAATGCCTTAGAGTTGGAGTCATAAAGCATGTAGACTTTTCATATTGACTTCTTTCACTCTGCAATATCCATTGAAAGTCCCATTTTTTTTGTCTTTTTGTGATTTGATATAATACTAGTCTATCATCTAAATATAGTGGAATTTATTTATCCACCAGTTGAAGAACATTTTGTTTGCTCTCAAGTTTTGGCTATTATGAATAAAGGTGTCATAAATATTTGTGGCTGGCATTTTATTCTTTTTTGCTGTGTGAATATGAATTAAAATTTCAACTCAATGTGTAAACATCAAGGAATTTGAATGTTGGATCATATGTGTGTTTAATTCTGAAAGGGACTGCCATAGTGAATTCTAGGGTGACTGTATCAGATGGCATTAAATAGCAAGAAATGAGAGTTCCTGTTGTTGCTCATCCTCACTAGCACGTGATGTGATTAGCGTTGTACAGTTTTCGTTATTGCTTTAATTTGCATTTCCTTAATCACAGTGATGTCAAGTATCATTCAGTATGCTCATTGTATATCTTCTTGGGTGAATGTCTGTTGAGATCTTTTTTTAAAATATTTATTTATTTATTTGAAAGGCAGAGTTACAGAGAGGCAGAGGCAGAGAGAGAGAATCTTCCATCTGCTGGTTCACCCCGCAGATGGCCACAATGGCCAGAGCTGTGCAGATCTGAAGCCAGCAGCCAAGAGCATCCTCCAGGTCTCCCATGTAGGTGCAGGGCGCCAAGGACCTGGGCCATCTTCTACTTATTCCCCAAGTCATAGAGAGCTGGATTAGAAGTGGAACAGCCATGACTTGAACTGGCACCCATATGGGATGCCGGCACTGCAGGTGGTGGCTTTACCCGCTATGCTACAGTGCCAGCCCCCTGTTCAGATCTTTTGACCATTTTTAAACTGAGTTGTTCTTTTATAATTTGGGATATCAGATGTTTATTTGCTATGCATTTTGAAAAGCAATTTTTTTCTCTGTGACTTTTCTTGTTCTCTTCATTTTTCATAAAGCAAAAGTATTTAATTTTGATTTTACAGAAATTCAACTTACCAAAGTTTCTTTGAGTAAACCTAGAAACTCAGATTTTTGTCATTTCAGACACTTAATATTCAGGCAATGACTAAATAGGTTCCCTTGAAACAAACATAGTGTATAAAAGCTCTTACCTCAAAACAACAAAATACGGAAATTAAAAATGACTCATCTCTTACTACTATCTCTTCAGTTATTCTTAGTTCAGGAACAGACAACTAAACTTTATGAACAGACATTCGTTTTGCAATGAAATACCCTATGACACTTACATATCAAACCTTAATTCTGTTCTACATTATTACTCTTCAATAAAAATGTAAGTAGCCATAAATGAAAAACCTTTGCAATGTTGTGTGTATGTGTGTGTGTGTGTGCGTGAGTGCGTGTGTGTTTGTGTGCGTTTATAGCCAAGTGTCTCTTTCAGCTTTTTCAATTCTCCCCTTGTTATTTCTCTAGGATGGTCATTGTTAGTGTTTACAAGACTTTGTAAATAAAAATACATCTCCATCTCCACCCCCACTCCAGTCCGACATGCTTCTGTGTTGATGTAGTCAGCTGAAGGAAAGGTGAAGAGAAAATCATGTGTTACCCTAGGTTGAGGGGAAAGACTAATTTATTTACCTTGCCAGAGCTTGCTTCTACACTGTCTTTGTTCCACTTGAGGTGTGTAAGTTTTCTGTTCCCCCGGCCTCTCCAGCCCTATCACCCTCAGTGATGCATAGTGCAGCCACACGTTTGTGTCTTTATCATACTCCTTCATGGCTCATGTCAGGGGTTGGATGTAAGGAAGAAAATGTATTTTTGTTATATAGAACATGGGGCAGAATCATAAGGTAGGTCAGGGTGCCAATGGATCTTGTTTTTGTCCTTAAATCACCCACCCCTACAATTCCTACCACATGGAGGGCTAAAGCAGATTTGTGATTCAGTCTCAATTAAAATATAATATTAAAAACCAGGAAAATCTGCATGATCCACTTCATTTTCTCCTCAAACTTGCTTTAACAGAGCATTCCTAAACCACAACTAATGTGTGTTATCTCATCAACCCCAACACAGTCTCCGAAGAAAAATAGATCAATTTCGAGAAAATTATGTACCGTATCTCTGCTTTGATTTTTTTTATCACTTTCTCCAGAAGCTCCAAGGAAAATAATTAAAAATTATCTCAAATTGTATTTTTCCAAGATATTTCAAATATTTAAAGGAACATTTAGTAACATCTTGAAAAGCTGAAATTCTATGAAAAAAAAACTTACAAGATTGGAAATTATATGCAACAATTTAGTCATGAAAAATTTAATACAGTGATATAAGCAATTTTTAAAAGGTGTCAATTATAAATATGCTTTGCACTTTTTTGTGCATGTGAAGTGCTTAGGAAATTATAAAATCAAGAAAGCAATGAAACACCTCTAAGTTAGAGGTAGGAATGACACAGGGTGAAAAATAAGCAGAAAGTAATCCTGTAGAAAAATCAATAAATTCTCCCTTTTGCCCTCTGTGTATTTATCTTTTACCTAGCACAAATAGAAATAAACTCACTGCTTGGTTTCTGTCACTGTGAATGTCTAACTTAGCAGAAGCTATAACAGATACTCAATATGTACAACAAGAGATGAGATGTAGGTTTAACATAATTATTTCATTGATTTGCATGAGTACCAGTGAGGAATTTCCACTTTAGCTATTTTTTTCTAAGTAAGTGTTTAATTGAATTCCAGAAGTCATTTTACAATGGGATATGACCAGAATATAAATTTGCTTGCAAGAAAACTTGTTTGTACACACGGGCTTGAAAGCAGTTTAATGCTGCTCTAAGCCCTTCACAGACTTCCATTTCTTACTTTATGAAACAGAGATAATCTCATAAGATGTGAAGGACGTAAAAGATAATGCTTGTAAAGATGCTCTGAGCTCTCAGAGTAGGCTCTATTAACTTTATTGTTGTTGACATTTTGGGTCTACAAGGCTACCATTTGCTGGCACTTCAAGTCTGACTCTGGATTAGGTCTCTTGGTATGGGATACTCTGTTTAAGGGGTTGAGAACAGGCAGACAACATGACAATTCTATCTTCCTATGTGATGCTGCTCTACTTCAGTGGACCCTTTTTGAACCTTTTCAAATAGATTTTATCATCTGTAAAATGGATTCCAACATCATGTGGTTTTATTAGGACAGGTTAGTACACAGAATGGGAATGGACAATACTAGGTACATGGTTTGTGTTCAAGTAAATGGAAACTATTGCCTGCATTTGTTTGTCACAGAATCCATCACTCTATCCTATATACTTAGTCTTTATGACACTTCCTAGCACATGGTAGGTAGGAAATCACTGTTAGTACCTCAGCTGCATTGAGGTTAATTATATTGAATTTATCTCTCTTCAGGTGAGAATATATCCCAAGATACCTAATTTAACTGAGTCAAAGTTGATATTTCTTATAAATCAAATTTGATTTCTGAATTTTCTCTGATTTCACAGAGCATAAAGATCAATACATAAAGTGTGTATTTCTGTCTCAGTCCTCCTAGCCTTGTATTTGCTGGAGTATGGAACCTAATTTCTGAATATTTCTGCAGTGCCCTTCATAAGAACTTCTCCAAATATCATAAGAACTTCTCTGGATGGTAAGACTTTTGCACTGCAAGTAGAAAGAAGCTATCCTAATATTCCAAAGCCATTTTAAATGACCCATTATAGTTTCCATGCATAATTTTTGTGTGAATTAGAATTACTTTATTGTTACATTTTAATTTGGGTATGGTAAAGTCTATTAGTGTTTTTCTTGAAATACCATACTATTGTTGTTACTATTGCTGGGATTCATCATTATATATGTTTAGCAGAATGAAATATGACCAATATATATGTTTCATACAGGTAAGAATTCTCATCTTCTTTGTTCAGTGATCCATACCTGCTTTCTGTCAGTTGATATTTACTGTTTGCATATTGAATGCCAAATCTTTTATTTTCCACCAGTGACTTACTAGCAATGGCCTACATTATAGTAAACCAAAAATACTCAAAAAATAAAACAAAAACACCTGAACCAAAAAAAAAACCAAAAAACCCAAAACATAAACTTGGAGAGTATGCACTGAACTATTTTTGAGAAAATAGGTTTCTCTTTTTTTTCTCATTACAGTTACAGTTCTGGTAAACTTAATAGTAATAATGCCTGTGAAGTTTATTTTGGATCCTAAAATTGAAGCTATTAGACAATGTGCAGTTTTTAATAATAATATTTTTATTTTACTACTAAACATTTTATTCTATGAGTTTATCTTAATTATTAAAATTCAACAGATTGATAGGATAAATATCTGACAGGATAACTTAAAACATCTAGTGTTTCATAATAAAATATTTTCATTTGGTAGATAATAAAGTTAGCATTTCAGGTGAAAATATAATATTATAATGCATATATGTAAGTTTTCCTTTAGTTGTTTTGTTCCTAGTATTGGCTTTCCTATGGCAGTCACCTTATAAGTTTATAAGACTCATTTTTAGAAGAAAAGAAAAAGCTAAAAACATAATTTACTTGTTTTAGCAATACTTTTTTTTAATTTATAAATTAACATAATGCAGAAGGGTAGTTTTATGTGAATGTATATAAAAATTCCCGACATAATATCCTACAAATAGTCTTTAGTAGAATGTTGCTTGACTTCAGTGTCCACTGTCATTTCAAGACTATCGTATATTTTTTATTCGCAGTTCTAAATTCTGTAATATTTTAAAAGAAGGTGGGAATGTAAACTTTTAAATTAATGCCCAATTTGGCTGTTAATTATAACTTATGAAGAGTCTTCCCCAGCAAAATCACAATTTCTGTCTGTATTGCCATCAATACTGTCAAACATAGAGTATATGACAGAACCTGGGATAATCTGGTTTATAGCTGATTATGTGATTTCTCACATTTTCAGACTGTATTAGAGGAGAACTACACAGAATCCAATGCAAAACAAAACATGAGATAATACATGGATGTATGTGCTGCTTCTCATAGTTTCATTGATTTAATCCTGAAAGTAGGTAGATTTGGAAAAAATCTTGCTAAAAAAGATTTTTTTATCTGTATAAAGCAACTTCAGATACAAGATCATATTTCATCTTTGCCTTCCCTGGTATTCTCAACTCCCCCTCCCAGATCGCTTGCTTAAATTGGCATCCTTATTTAATAGATCAGTTTTCTCTTTTTTGTCAAATTGCTACATAAAATATAGTTCAGTTTGTATTTTGTACAAAGAGAATTTCTGCATAATATCTAAAAATCCATTTATATAGCACATTACCCCCAAACCTGTAACCAATTAGGAGAGGACTGTTTAAGAATGTCAGAATTTTACTTGATATGATTTTTGTTCTTCAGTTTGTTAACGAGATGAATAACATTTATTGATTTGTGAAAGCTGAAAATTTTCTGCATACCAGGGATAAATCCCAGTTGGCCTAGGTGAATCATCTTGCTGATGTGTTGTTGGATTGGATTAGCTATTATTTTCTCAAGAATTTTGCATCTATGTTCATCGAGGTATTGGTCTATAGTATTCTTTCTGTTGTATATTTTTCAGGCTTAGAAATTAAGGAGATGCAGGCTTCATAGAAAGAGTTTAGGAGAATTCCCTCACTTTCAATTGTTTTCTAATAGCTTGAGAAGAATTGGAATTAGTTCTTCTTTAAATGTCTGCTGGCATTTAGCAGTGAAGCCATCGATAATATTTAAAATATTAATCCTTTGTCATACAGGTAACTCACAAATATTTTCTCCCATTCTGTTGATGTCTTTTCACTCTTAATTGTTTGCTTTGCTGTGCAGATGCTTCTAGGTTAGATGTAATCTCATTTATTTAGTTTTGCTTTGGTTACCTGTGCTTTGAGGTCTTATCCAAGAAGTGGTCCCCTACACCAATGTCTTGACATGTTTCCCCTACATTTTCTTATTGCAACTTCAGAGTCTAAGGTCTTAAATTTAGATTTTTGATCTATGTAGGGTTGATTGTGTGTATGTTGAGAGGTATGATCTAATTTCATTCTTTTATACATATACATCCAGTTTTGCACATACAATTTGTTGAAGACATTATCATTACTCCAATGTATGGTTTGAGCATTTTTGTCAAAGATCCAGTGGTTTTAGGTATGTGGATTAATTTTAGGGCTCTCTATTCTGCTCTATTGATCTATGTTTCAGTTTTTATGCCATAGCATACTGTTTTAATTATTTTAGCTTTGTAGTATGCTTTGAAGTTTGGTATTGTGATACCTCCAGCTTGAATTTTTTGTTTTTGTTTGTTGCTCAGCATCACTTTGGCTATTCTGGGTGTTTGTAATTTTTTATATGGTTTTAGGATTGTTTTCTCTAATTCTATAAATAATATCTTTGGTATTTTGATAGGGATTGGGTTAAATCTATAGATTATCTAGGTAGCATAGAAATTTTACTGATATCAATTCTTCCAATCCATGAATAAGCAATATCTTTCTGTTTTTTGGTGTGTCCTTGCTGCTTTCTTTTATCAATGTTTTATAATATTCATTGTAGGGATCTTTCACTTGTTTAGTTAAATTTATTCCTAAATATTTTATTTTTTGATGGCTATTATAAATAGGATTTCATTCTTGATTTCTCTTTCAGTGAGTTCATCATTAGCATATAAGATTACTGTATTTTTGCATGTTTATTTTGTAACTTGCAGCTTTACTGAATCAGTTTATCAGTTCCAAGCACTTTTTAATGAAGTGTTTTTTTCCTATGTACAACATCATGTCATGTGCAAACATGGATATTTTTACTTCCTTTTTTTCCAATTTTGATGCCCCTTTTTTTTCTTTCTTTTCCCTAAGTGTTCTTGCTAATACTTCCAGTACTATATTGAATGAGAGAGGTGAAAGTGGATTCTGTCTTATTCTAGATCTGAGAAATGCTTTCAGCTTTTCTCCATTCAGTATGATATTGACTGTAAGATCTATTTAGCTTTGGATAATTCATAAATCCTCTGTAAATATTTATTTCTTTGCCTGCACAATAATTTTGTTGAAGGCAACATTAAAAACTTTTAACTTGGCCGGCGCCACAGCTCAATAGGCTAATTCTCTGCCTTGCGGCGCCAGCACACTGGGTTCTAGTCCCGGTCGGGGTGCCGGATTCTGTCCCAGTTGCCCCTCTTCCAGGCCAGCTCTCTGCTGTGGCCAGGGAATGCAGTGGAGGATGGCCCAAGTGCTTGGGCCCTGCACCCCATGGGAGACCAGGAGAAGTACCTGGCTCCTGCCTTCGGATCAGCGCGGTGCGCCGGCCGCAGCGTACCAGCCACGGCGGCCATTGGAAGGTGAACCAACGGCAAAGGAAGACCTTTCTCTCTGTCTCTCTCTCTCACTGTCCACTCTGCCTGTCAAAAAAAAAAAAAAAAACAAAAAAACAAACTTTTAACCTTTTAACTCTAAATATTCCATATTTTTATGATGCCAAATTTATATTTTCATAAGCTTTCTTCTTAACACTTTTTAAATTTCATTCAGTTGTGTAGAAATATCCCCTAATAATTTGTGGCAATTGCATTCCAAATGGGACAATATTAACATTTAGGTATGAAGATATACTTTCTTTTATGTCCAATGCCTGACAAATGTGTTATTCCAAGTGGGAGAACTATAGATTTTTTTCTGTAGTTGAATAGTGTTTTATATTTTCATTTCATCAGTAGGTAACTTATGTGAACCGCAAAGTTCTGAACAATCATTCCTTCTAAACATATCTCCTTTTCCATCAAATATTTTAGCTGAATAACACTAGAAATTTTCAGCATGAGATTGATATTTCCCTATTTTTTTTATCAAATGCGTATGATTTTTACTTATATCAATAATGATTTGATGGATCATCTCATTGTATTCTATAAAACAGAGATTAGAATAACATGTGCCAATAGTTTATCTGAGTTTGTTTCAGTCTCAAGTTCTTACTCTTTTTTCAAAAAATTGTCATCAAAATATCTGATAAATAATTCAAAAACGATGCTTACATAACTGGCTGCTGAGTTTGTAAACTCATTAGTCCGTTAGGCCATCAAAATTATGCTACTTGTATTATTTTGCTAGGAGTGCCATTAAAATGCTACATTGGGTGGTTTGTCTGTGGAAATTTCTTTTCATACAGTTCTATGGCCTAGAAGCCCAAAATTGGAATGTCAAGTGGTGACCGCAATGGAGGGTGTGTTCAAGGCCCCTGTTCTTGATTTTTGGAAGGCTACTTTCTACTGCTTTGCCCTCACATGGTCATTCCCCCCTGCATGTGTGCCTCTCCTGTTTTCTTCTGCATCCAAATTTTCTTCCCCCCCCCCCGAAACCTTTTATTTAAGGTATCAAAACTTTATGAATTTCATAAATGCAATTTTTGGAACATAGTTATTCTTCCCACCAAATCAGCCCTCCCACCCTCACTTCTTCCTCCTCCCTCTCCTATTCCCATTCTTATGTTTTTACTAAGATCTATTTTCAATTAACTTTATACATATAAGATTAACTCTATCTAAGTAAAGGTTCAAAAATAGTATTAAAAAAAAAAAAACTGTTCCTCAACAGTTGAGACTAGGGCTGTTCAAAGTGGTTGCATCTCAGT